CCGATTTCCTTCTTTGAAACCTCTCCATAATTTCCTTCTTTGAAACCTCTTCCACTCCTATGGAGAGGTCCCACGGCTCCGAACAGAACGACGGTCGTTTACCTAGGGAGACCCGTGAATTCACGAAGAAGTTATGAGGTAATTTATAGCATAGTATCTTTACGTTTATGGCTGCTCTATGACACTAAGATTTATATTGAAATCTTGATAATTTTGGAGCTTTGAAAATTTAAGCACCAGTTGATTTTGAAAGAATTTAGGGGATTTTTGGGGGTTGTGTTGATCATGAGAAATTGCTTTGAGTTTTTCTGTTCTGATAAGTGTTTTTCTGACAAGTGTTTCACTTGAGCATTTTCTTTACTAAACAGAGGCGACCAAATTCTGGTGGTTTCGTGGCTACAACGATGACAACAGAGACTTCGTTGAAAGGTATGCGTTTGTTTTTGTTTTTGTTTTTTTTTGTTTTTTTTTTCGAACTTTTCTTTCTTATTTTCGGTTTCAATTGGCCGCATCTTGGTCATTATTATGGATGTCGCCAGTTACGCAGCCGGAGCCTTATATTCTACATAGAGGTGAAAAAAACCAAGAGTTTTCTTAGGTGAGTGTTCTTTAATAAAAAAAATGAAGAATTGATTAATTCTAAGTCAACATGAATTTATCGACTTTTAAATGATTTGTTTGTGGAGTGTTCGTTTTGTATTTGTTAGGTGAGTGTTCGTTTTGTATTCGTTTTTCTTTGTGGAGTTAGTCAATTGTGTCAGAAATTAGAAACATTTAACTCTCATTTGTGGAGTTAGTCAATTGTGTGATCGGTTGGGCTATTCAGTTTTGTTCGGGCTTCACTTTTTTTGGGTTCTGACATGGTTAAGGAATGAGTACATGGATGATGAAATTGTTTTTTGTTTCTGTATGGTACATATGGTACATAGTAGTGTGTAATCTGTATGGAGTTTGGTTATCTGGGTTTTGATGAATTTTTTGTTTGGAATATGATTTTATTATTGTTTTCTGGGATTCGAAAAAGGCCAGACAACGATCGAGTGACAAAAATCGGCCAGGGATCGAAAAAGGCCATCCCCCAAAAAAAATCCGGTTCTCAAAGCACAGAATACGAGATACAAACATGGAAATTGGTCGTCCAAAGCTGCACCACTGCAATCCTCTTCACAACTGTAAAATTACTCATTCACGAATCTCCTGGTAATGTTTCTGAGTTTTTAATATTCAGGCTTCAAGTCTCATGGTAATGTTTCTGAGTTTTATTTAGCTAGAAATTTCCAACTGATTAGTCTCATTTGATTTGAAAGAATTTCATGTTTTTGCATTTTTTTTTTGGCCGAAATGCAATTGTAATAGTGCAGATTGGAAGTTAATTATTAGCGTTTTATTATTTAATGTAGTCTTATTGTATTTTGAATCAGATGCTATTAATTCAAATTGTCAATATTTGACTCTCAGTTATGGACTATTTCATGATCCTCACTTTATTTCTTTTGTTTGGAAAAGTTACTAATTTGTGAGTTCTAACAGTCACGAGTATCAGATGATCATGTCGTTTATCTGAGAACGTACAAATTATACCGAGAAAATTTGGCGGCGTGTATACAAGGTTTTCTTCTAATGATATAGAACTGTCCAGTATTGGTTGTACTATGTTCAATTTATACACGTCCATCCATCAAATTCAAGGTTGGGGAGACGTCTCCCATATCAGCTGTAATCTCATCCGTACCGCACAGTGATTAAAAGGCGTTCAACGCCATGACGTGAGGTGAGGCACATGAAAATGTTTCTTTTAATCGTTCTTTATTCTGAAATGGACTATGTGAAAATGAGATTTTC